ACTGTCTTTCCCCAAAGAATTCTGAAAACGTAGAGCTGTATTACTACGGATGCGCATTCTACTGCCCTCACCAGTTTTGTATGCAGGCGAGCACTGCTCCTGAGTCATCAATGTTTTAGTCACTGCAACTTCCGTGAAATGCTGGGTGCTGAGGAAGGTGGAAAAGTATTGCTGCTGGTGTCCTGAGGAGCACTTGATAGTATTTTTATCACGAGTCTTGTGTGCACTAGCAGCTTCATCACTTCCTTGCATTTTGCCCATCCAAACATAACCACATGCACTTGTCGTGTTTCCAGCCTTGTGCAAGGTCAGCATGTTTGCAGTGTCATTTCACCGCATGTAAAATTTTCCTGTTGTTTTTTTTGTAAAGCACCCTGATAGCTGCTGCATGTTGCATGCCAGTGGAAGTGGAAGATGTATTTGCATCTTTCTCACCTAAGTTTTGTGGATTCCCAAAAAGAGGCTGAGCAAGTGGTGCCACTTATTCGTTGTCTGCTTTGCTGAAAGTGATTTATATATTGTATCATATGTTTTGCTCAGTCATATGACAGATGGGGAATCAATGCAAGAGGTCGAGGCAAGAGGACCAAAATTTTATAATGGAATCTATTATGAAAGCAGCATGGAGTGCAGTGCAAAAACATATAATTGTTCCTTATGTCATGCCACAGTACATCACTGAGGTAGTGCCACAGCTGTCGACCCGTGCCATTACACAATGTACCACATGTGCCATATTGGTTGACTACCCTATGTCAAGACAGGAGTTTTTAAGTTATAAATGACTGGTAATAACTGAATTAACAATGTCAAAGGACGATCAACAGCAAGACTGTCATTGCACCACAATTGTTATATCAGGGTTAGCTATTAAATGCATACATAATCCTGAGCAAAAAAACCATCTTGGTAGCCCAACCTTGCCATCTTTACCAAATCAATAGCAATACTTTAGCAATCATCCATAGCAACGTTATAATCTATTAATTTTCGCATGACACCGCATTTCCAGTTACAAATAATACAGAAAGTAACTACCGTGCACATCACATGGCATCAATGTCAGGACTACAGCACTGGAGGCAACGACGGGTCGACAATAAAGTATTGACAAATCTTCAACAGCATAGCCGCAACAGCAGCAGCACAGCACATCGTGCTTTGATTTTAATGATCTGCCATAAACGCTAGCGATCGTTACTTTGCATATGTCAAACAGTCCACCAAAGCTTTCCTTACAGCCAGCACCAAGACAAAAAATACACAAACAAACCACCAACTAATCCGCCAGCCGACACAGCCCCGCGACGAGAATGGCCGGTTGGCGTCAGCTTTCGTGTGTTTCGAAACATTCTTTAGGTCTGTCTGTCAGATGCTGCCAGGCTTTGCTGTCGTCACAAAACCATTCTATGACAGCATCAAACAATGACGTAATTGAGTGCATTCTTACAAGCTTTGAAATTTTGCTAGTTGGCGTCGTTTTTGAACCTTGAAAGCTTATCAATAGTTACAAGTAAGCTTTTCCTATCATACCTGATGCCCACCTCAATATCTTCAAATGTGGAACATTCCCGTTAATGTGCGTTCACGAAATGCTTACGGATGATGTTCTTAACGATGGCTTTTGATGCAGTGATATCAGTTATTCTTGGAAAATATGAGATCATAATATCGTTTAATAGCTTAGGGCCAAGGCAAGATGTAAATAGTATAAAATTACGATTAGAGAAAAGTCGGTCTAAATGCTTTTGTCGCCTTATATCCATTTTATTTGATTAGTAGAGCTTGTATGCCAAACCAAATTATGCAGTAAGCTTAGAGTTTAGAAATTTATGCATCGCAAGTGGCATTTGGGATTCAGCGATATCCGATAGTGTCAAAAATTTGTGTTGTTTCAAGATTGGCCCAGAGGTTTGTGGAGGATACACATTTTCTATCCGCCTCACAGCCTTTTCTTCAAAATTACTAACCGATCTAGTTGAAAAGCATAATTATTATCCCAAATCAAGCAGCAGCAATTGCAATAACGAAGAATTGAAGTGTTTTAGGGACATGTGACGTTGTTTTATCAATGATGTAGATAATCTTGCTTATTATTTCATATGTTTATTTGATATGCTTGCAACAAAACCCCTGTGGCGCGTAAGTTTAAGATGTTTTTCAATGGGCACACCAATGTATTTGTTTTTTTCCGTTCAGAAGGTAAATTGTTAAGTTGCACATTTAGCTCAAAACACGAAGAAACCGTAGTGTAATACTGTGTAAATGTTTTTGATACCTTTACGGAAAGGCAATGACATGTAAACGAAGTTTTGGTTCAGTGCGTGGAAATAATGAATTGAAAGTGAGAAAATTTCGAGATCATCTTCAAAACCATGTTGGAAAAACAGCAAAGATGTAATAGGGAATTTGAATCCACCCTACCCACCCGGCGTAAGATTTTAGTACCAATGTTTTGCCTACATTTAAGCAGTGCACACCACGGAATAAGCGGTATCTATGAGACGCTTGCAGCTTGGAAAGCATGAATCACTATGTTCCGTCATCCAAGTAGGACAAACAACACTTCCTTAATGGCCTTCCGACGCACTTAGCAGGTCGACGGTCAAACTGTATGCTGAACGCCCTACCTCAAACTTTTAGATTTTGTGCGTAAAGGTCCCAGACTTAGTCTAAGGTAAGGGGCACATAACCAAGCGAACACGCATAAGTGTTTTCGGCATGTTTGCTCCGAACACAGTTGATGTTAAGAATAAGTCCAACACACCAAAACATGAATCCCTAAATCCAGCGTCTAACATGGGAAACCTACCACACAATTTTATGCGCGTTTCAATCCAACCAATCCATTTGTATCGGCAACTGTTCCCGCGAGATGAAGTTTAGTCAACATCTCTGCCCGCTCTGGAAGACAGCGCACAAAATATGCTCGCTCTATTCCTGGGCAAACTATTTTGTGACCGTCATCACAATGAAAATCGTACGCCGACATGTGCCCATGTCTTCTGTCATCCGGAGTATGGTGTTAGTATCAACGCTTTGCATACATTAAGCAGTGCACACAGGGATAGCGGTTATCTAAAACACCCTTGCAGCTTGGAAAGTAAATATCACCATGTACGGTCATCATATAAGTAAAAACACTCTTCTTCACATGACCTTTGGGCCCACTCTGCGAGTCAGCGAGAGGTTGCATCCTGAATGTCTCCATCAACTTTAAGATTTTGCACGCAAATGTCCCATACTTAGTCCAGATAAAGGAAGCACGTAACCGACCGAACATGCAACAGTGTTTTCAGCGTGTCTTCTCCGAATATTGCCAATGTTACGAATAAGTCGAACGCCAAAGGCACCACAAAATGTCTGAATCGGTATTCTAACATGGGAAAACCTACGACACGCCTCTTTCCTCGCTTCGACTCAACCAATCAATTTGTACCCTACAACTGTCATCGTGAAAAAGGCTCAGTCAACATGTCTGCCGCTCTTGAAAATAACACACAAAAATACTCCTGCGCAACCTTTTTGCGATGCAATTAGTGCGAACAACAGACTGCCGATCTGTGGTCCATGCACTCATGGCCGCCGTCATACCGGATCATATTCGGCAACCTACAAAGAAAACAACTTTTTGCAGGAATGAGGAAAGCGGCGAGCGCATCTTCTGATCCCCAGTCGTGTGAGCGTCGTTGACCTAAAATATAACGGCTTTTCCAGGAGATCGCGTGGCAGAAACACCAAGCGCGGTCCGCCGTTTGTGCAACACAGCAAACAACAAACAAGCAACAACAAAAAAACAGGAGCTCTCGCACATAGTAGTCCTCGCAAGCATAACCCCCTCCCATGCCAACTTGATGGCACGTACTTAGGTGCACGCGACCAGCTCTTGGCGGTGAAGAATGCCACTTAGACACATACACAGATGGAAAGATCGAGAACATGACATGCTGTTTCACGATACAACGAGCTACAACTGAAACCCAAGAAACTGTTCTCGCCTGAGGCGGACATAACTTGGTCTTAATTGTTGAGTGTGGTCCACCCCCACACACTGCCAGTTCTAATCCTGCGTTCGTCCTTGCTTGCTAATACATCCGGTTCCGGCGATAAAGGTGAGGGAGAGGCGAAGCAAGCGAAATCGCTCACATGTGAATCCTTCATGAATGATGGCAAGCTGTTCAAACAGGTGAATGCCACCGTTTTACAGAGTGGTTTGTAACAGCCTTAACACGCGCTTGAGTGGGAGGTCAAATTGACACCGACCTCAAAAGGGTTTGTGACCTTTTGCTTAGAAACGGTTGCCTAGGTTCTGGGGGCACTATAGAGACCAACCTGGAATTTTAACATTATTTCACCTTATTTGGCCTGAAGACCATTGTCTAGGAAGCTCAAGCTTTGACCTAAGGTGAGTTTACGTACAGTTTAAGATGGTGTTGCTAGCTCTTTTAGTTCCCGAGATCTCAGGGGGGCGTTCAAATTGACCCCCCCCCCCCCCCCCCCGAGCGAAGGGTATCTAGCCGGCCACCCGGGCGCGTGTTAAGGTAGCGTGGACTGGTGGTGCTAGTCTAAAGTCCATGCCATTTAGATCTGTCTTCTAGACTTTAGGGTGTCTGGCTGGAATTTAGGTTTGCCACACAATCGTTAGCCGAGGCATGATCATGATCATAGAATGATGAACAGTAGCATGATAGAGCTCTTGTAACCTCCGCCGAGAGGACATGAAATGAGGGCGAAACGAAGTATGTCATTTTTGGCCGGTTGTATTATGAACACTTTGGAAGCACACGTTTGCGGTGGACGTATATTAAGGGTGGCCATTGTTTTGGCATGTTGTAACTTTTCCGGTGGGACCATGTCGAATGCTTGCCATTTAGGCTGAAAAAACAGGTTGAGAAAAGTGTTGAGAAAAATAAAACATATTAAAGGGTTCTCAAAACAACCAAACTTCATCAAAAGCATGGCCGACAGGCATTGAACATTTGAGGTTTTAGTGCGATAACATGTGGCGGTGAATATTTGTTGGGTTGCCTGCTCAGTGAGTATTAATTACAGAAAAGGGCGCTTTTTTTCTCCAACTTCTCAAAATATGTAACACAGCCAGCATGAGTGAGGCACTGATTCCGCGAAACCTTTAGTTTTGTCTTCGATTTGCCAGGATCGAGGACGCAACCAGCATGAGCTCCACAAGGATTCCACGAAACCACTAGTGTTGCTTTCAATATGCTAGAATATGTGCTGCAGTGCAGCCAAGCACGTATTTAACACGGGTTACACAAAACAACTCGCTCTGCTTCCATCTGCCGGAACTATGTGACACAGCCAGCATTCATTCCACCCGAATTCCTCAAAAAGTGCGCTTTCCTTCAATTTGCTTAAGTCTACGACACAGCCAACTACAAATTTCATTGGGCCGCTCGGCCATGGCTCTCTCTGTCGGGAGGAAGCCCCTGCCTCCCTGACATGGGCTGACGTCACAGCGGCCCGCCCCGCTCCGAACTGATGGGCGGGGTTGAAGGACACGCCCGTGGCCGCAGCCGAGAGAAGCGAGGCGCAGCCGGACCGCCTCCGGGTACGGCTCTACCTGGACCGCCTATATAACGCGTCCAGCTCCTCCAGCCAGCACAGTCAGTCCTCCTGCAGCGGGGAAGCATGAAGGTTCTGGTAAGTGAAGCCGCTAGAGTGTGCTGTGTTCGGCAGCGGTGGGAACCTTAGCATTTGTAGTTTTGATGCTTATGTGCAAGACTAGGTGTTCTATCGCGTCGCTGTGGACCTGCTATAACGTGTTACTTGCCAGACGTATAGCGAGTTATTTGGTATTCCCAACAAGCCGTATTCCGCTGGAAAACGATACTTTGTCGCAAAATATTGGTATATGTACACATTTATGGAGTAGTGCCAGGGGTTTTATGTCTCGCTTATTACATGAGCGACAGCTGATTTGTTTAACATGTGTCACGTTTTGACAGCAAGTACTGTTATAAAATCCGCAAGGGATCACTGAAATTTGTTCATATATGCAACCCTTTCAGCAACCAAACAGCATCGCTGTACTCAATGACAATCAAAGTGAGTTGGATGGCACTCGTAAAAAGACTTACACTATCACAGTGAGAAGAACGCAAGGATAAAACAGAACTGAAAAGGCCATTTTCTATAATTTCATCATACCGCACAAGACATTCAAGCAATTTAAAAATATAGGAGAATTGGCAACTCCTAGCTTAAAGCTAGTACTCGAATTGCAGGGATTGCAAAAATTGCGGGTACATGGACTCAAATCAAAGATAGCAATCAACTAGCGGATACATGACGACAACATGCATACGATAAAATTGAAAAACAGATGCCACAATCCTGAAGTATGGTATCCCAAAATTTCACCTAAGTGAAACATCATCGCCTTGCTTTCCAAGGACATAGGTCCAAAACTCCCCTCCATAATCCAAAGCATAGCTTCACCAATGCCTTATGCCCTGTATGCTGGTTCCAGTTAGTTCGCGGTCGTTTGGAGAAGGATCTGTTGCTTCAATGCAATACGATCAAGTATTGCTCAATCATAAGCAAGTTCCCACTATTCAGCCCACCGTCTGTGTTCCCGCAGGTCGCACTGGTCCGCTGTCTTGGCGCTGGGCCTGCCCAGTACTTCGCCTGTTGGGTACACCAGTACTACGGGTACAGCCCGGGTAGCTACTACGCGGGCCGGCGCGTACAACCATTACGCCCCGACGGTGTACAGCGCGGCGCCAGCCGCTACCGTCAGCTCGCAGTACCACGCTCAGGATGAGCTGGGCCAGTTTCAACTATGGCTACGCCGGAGGCCCGTCTGCCAAGAACGAGTTCCGGAGGTTCGATGGCGCCACCGTTGGCAGCTACAGCTACTAGACGCCAACGGCAAGGTGCAGACCGTCTCCTACACGGCCGACGATGTCAACGGCTTCCCGGTGAAGGCGACCAACCTTCCTGTGGCCCCGGAGGCGAAACCTGCAGGCGCCCGTGTTCAACCTGGAGGCGCCCGTGTTCGACGGCGTGGCTCCCGAGCCGGTGCAGGACACGGCCGAGGTGGCCGCCGCCAAGGCCGGAGTTCCGCAAGAAGTACGCCGAGGCGGCGGCCGCCTGCCGCCGCTGCGCCCGACACCGACGCCCCGGAGGCTGCCGAGGAGGAGGCGGCCGTCGCCCCTGCCGAGCGTCGCCGTCGCAGCGCTGTGCTTCTGCCCGCCCTGGCCAAGGCCACCTTCAAGACCGCAACTCTGGATAAGGTGGAGGCCGACCACCCCGGCCGACACCACCCTGCTGAAGGTCACCGAGAAGGAGCACGAGACGTACGTGCCCAGCGTGGTCTCTTACGGCCGCCCCCGCCGTCCACTACACGGCTCCCCGTGGTCTCCTACGCTGTCCCCGAGGTGAAGAAGGTTGAGGTCAAGCATGTGGCCTCTCCCATCACATACGCTGCCTCTCCTCTTCCCCTGGCCTATGGCCTGCACCCGTACGGCTACGGTGCCCCTCTCATCTACAACGTGGAGGCTAAGGAGGAGGACTGCCGCTGTCGAGGAGGCTGCCGAGGAGAAGCCGGCCGTCGTCGCCGCCGAGCGTCGCCGTCGCAGCGCCGTGCTTCTGCCCGCCCGTGGCCAAGGCCAACCTTCAAGACGGCCACCCCCTGGATAAGGTGGAGGCCCGACACCCCGGCCGACACCAGCCGGCTCAAGGTGGACTGAGAAGGAGCACCGAGACGTACGTGCCCAGCGTGGTCCCTACGCCGCCCCCCCGCCGTCCATTACACCGCCCCGGTGGTTTCCTACAGCTGTCCCCGCAGTGAAGAAGGTTGAGGTCAAGGCAGCCCCCATCACCTACGCTTGCTAACGCCTTCGCCTACGCTGCTCCTGCCATCACATACACCACCCCGTGGTCAAGAAGGTTGAGGTTCAAGCACGTGGCCTCTCCCCATCACGTACGCTGCCTCTCCTCTTCCCCGACCTATGGCCTGCACCCGTACGGCTACAGTGCCCCTCTGATCTACAACGTGGAAGACAAGGAGGAGAGTGCCGCTGTCGAGGAGGCTGCCGAGGAGGAGCCGGCCGTCGTCGCCGCCGAGCGTCGCCGTCGCAGCGCCTTGCTTCTGCCCGACCCCTGGCCAAGGCCACCTTCAAAACAACCACTCTGGATAAGGTGGAGGCCGACACCCGGCCGACACCACCCTTCTCGAGGTCACCGAGAAGGAGCACGAGACGTACGTACCCAGCGTGGTCTCTTACGCCGCCCCCGCCTGTCCACTACACCGCCCCCGTCGTTCGCTACGACCGTCCCGGATGGTGAAGAAGGTTGAGGTCAAGACGGCCCCCATCACCCTACGCTGCCTATCCCCTTCCCCTGACCTATGGTCCCACCCGTACAGCTTCGGCACTCCTCTGACCTACAACGTGGAGGCCAGTCTGCTGAAGTCGAGGAGAAGGCTGATAAACAGTTTTTCCATCTAAACATTGAACGGCAGACAGCTGCGTTCGGTTACATGTCTTGTCCTGTCTTCCATACTGCAGCGTCCGTTGTTCCAGTTGTTGAACATGTTGTCCATGTGTGATATGCTTCGGCCATTAACCCGTCATGATTGCATCATTCGTCATGCTTCCAGTAACTGGGAATACAAGGTTCACGTCCTATGTACTCCATTGTTTTATCTCGCTGCAGAGCTTGTGCGAGGCGACGGTAGTTTTGATAGCGGATGTTAAAAAAATAAAAACAATGCTATCACGTAGTAATAAGAAAAGCCCTTTTGCTGATGGACCCACATCCTCAATGTCGAAGGTCAAACTATAGCATAACGTGCCAATGCCAGACCCACATAATAAGATTGTAAACCGTATGTGACCAGACCATTCTTAAGTGTGTTATTTTTGTATTATAGATCCCTTACAAGGTAGCCAGATGGGCTCAATGGAAATGCGCGTTTTGATGGTAGGCAACCAAGCCGATGCGGTGCGATCCCCCCTTGGCACAACTCAAGGAAATCAATTGAATGCTTCCCACTAGATGTCTCTGGTGACTAGTGATTCCGTCCGCCATTGCCGAACACACGTTTCGTAGCTAATCGTCCATCGCTCTGACAATTTCCAAAGAATGCATATAGTTCTTGCTACATCTTCTGTGGATATTGTCAGCATGTCCATTACTAGGAAATGTACTTCCACCAACATGGGGCACCTAGTTTGTCCTTAAGGGCCTAAGGGAAACTTGCTTTTGATATCGCTAGCCTTATGTCCATAAACTCTCATCTTTTCATCGATTTATATCCTCTGACGACTGTAGCTGACCTTGCAGGCGTAACACAAAAGTCTGCCTCTTTTACTTCCAGCACGCCATGATAAGAAAAAAGCATTGGTCTTAACAGACCCGAAATGAGTAACCTACAAGCCCCAATGGCGTACCTAGGAACGCATAAAACGTAATGTTTCATCAGCATGTGAATAAGGCAAGAACTAGCTATTAAGATTTAATGGAGCACTAGAAGGCCGGATGCAACTTGTTTTATGTGATACGTAAGTTAGGAGCATTTTAAGGTCGGAGCTTGGCATTAGCATACTGCTTTGACAGCTCTGAAAAGCGTTTTTGTGAGCTTGCGCCTGTGAGCGTTTAGGTGTGACCTGTTCTAGGGAGCAAGGATTGGGCCCCACGACAGGTACAGTTGCACCTGGCAATGAAATGCATTAAAGATAAGACGCTCGGAGGAAGCAGTATGATTTCTAGCAATAAGGAGACCACATGAACCCACAAGCCTGGACCTGCGTTTCTTAAAATCCAGCTACGCGCGCAATTCACTTAGGCTCCAGTTTGAAAATATTGCAAAATTTTCCAACTGTAGCACGTTGAGTCGTGTACCTAACACATAAGAATAAGGAGAGTGCACTGTCACATAAGGAACCCGCATAGAACTTTCCCACGTAACACACGAAGATTCAGTTGTGGTGATCGCTGCTTTCTTGCAATACCCATGGCTGCATTTCATCGCTTTTTGACCATGTGGCCATTTGGTCTTACATGAGATTCTTGGCTGTACATTAAATTTCAAAAGCTGTGGAATACGACACACCGGACACAGCCGGCGCGGTTTTTATTAAAGTGACTTTTTTTGAGCATTTAGAGCAGACGCGAACAGCAGGTGGGGGCCAGGTCTAGTCGGGGTCTTGTCGAAGTACAATACAAATATTTTCTTTGCAGCATAGGTACACTTCAGACTAGGTCGCAAGACATGATTTATGCTTTTTAGTGTGGTCATGAAATCTTGCTGCGCAAGGATGAATTTGGGAAATTTAGAAAGAAGAAAGCTGTTGCCCTGCGGCCCAGGACACGTCGACCGGTGTCTTACAGCCTCACGGACGCACCTTGGTTCCAAGGAAATCACAAGCGGTAACCACGCAAGCGACATTATCAGGTGTACAGCGGTAGCTTAGTGCTAGAAAATGTGCTGCATAACAAACTTTGCTCAAAAGTTGATGAAAAAATAGAGATGAGAGAAGCGCTTTTAAAAACTAGACATGGAAAAGGATTACGTAAATGAGTATTTTACCACGCGTATTAATATCATTCTTTGGCCTACAGGCACTTCTCTTCAATGCGTCTTCAAAACACAAAAGTTGTGTTCGTCACGGAGCTGTGCTGCCAAAGCGTTGTCAAATGATAGTAAATATTTCGTGACATCACCTGGTTTCCTCAGCTGCGTGCAAACGCAAGTCTCTCTCGTAAAAAGACAAGATATCGTTAGTGAACTTTGCAATAAGTTTTGCTTTCATGCGCTCTACTACAGTTTGGTGACGTCACTGGTGCCGAGTACAGTTTGGTGACGTCACTGGTTGATGCGGGGCAGCCAGAGCATCGGAAGTCCTCGCACAGATCATGGCCAAATTGCTAGGGGAAGTTGTACGTGATTCTGCAGGCGATTACAAATAATCCAATGGCGAATATGATGGCAGGGGTGGTAAAAGTGTACTTTTGTCACCGAACAAATTTTGGAAAAATTGTCGCCAGCAGCGTAATGTGATGCCAGATGGCAAAATGGTCATTAAGTCCATGCCCAGTAGCGCCATCAGTAATCAGCCTGTAAACGAAAGTTTCTCCAATCACGGCACATTTCAATACCACACACGTAACTGAAACGTTCAGTCATACGCTGCCCTTGAACAAGCGTCGGGATAAGTGCTGCTGCTAAGAAAGCAGGCGCACCTGCGCTAGACTAATGAGATAGCCCAGTAACAACACGCGTTTTCTTCCACCCCCGGGCCTTGCCGGGGCATGTCGCCCGAAATATAACTTAAAGTTTATCTCCATTCTCCGGGTTTTTTCCGAGGAAAAAGGCTAATACTACTGTCTTGTCTATGTGAATCAATCTCCTCGTTTATGTACTGAACAGCTTGCAGGATGGATTGCTGATAAAATAGTGATATGGTTTTGAATATGCGCGCTCGAAAGTCCTAGATACAAGAGCTTTACGCCCAGCGTTGAAGTCTCCGTGAACCGCGCGGCGGCGGCCTTGCGGCTGACACTAAGCGATGGCCAATGAGCAAACGAAAAAGATGGTTGCATTTCAGAGAAGCTGGCTGCTGAAATATGTACGTCTCCATGTATGCCTAATGTAGGCAAAAGTAAGCTAAACACAACCTTAATCTGAAAACGGGGGGGGGGCAACTTAACACTGCTGCCCCTCACCATGAAAAGTAGGGGGGGGGCGTGGACCCCCTGCTCCCTCTGCTCCTACACACATGACATTAACGCAAAAACCATCTTCTCTGGACCTAATCTATTGACCATGATCCATGGGTTACTATCTCCCCATAATATTGCATACAAATTGGCACTTATCACAGTTGGCACTTACACAAATTGTCATTATGCCATCATCAAAACAAACTATGTTGATTTTCATCAATGCAGCTACGTTACTGGCAGACTATCTGCCTTCACAGCCTGTACTTAATGTATACAGTGATTATGCTATTGGTTCCATTTAGGACGATTTAACAATTCAGTCTTAACAAAAACAGCAATGAAACACACCATATTTGCATCCATGCAACTGTCGCACTCACAAGTGCAACGAAATATTGCACATGAATGAGCATTGCAGAGCGAATGACTTCCAGAGTTTTCGTATCACAGTAGGGATGCTATCATCAGGAAATAGCCAACATTGTGCTCAGAGACAAACAAATGTCAACCCTTCATTTGACCTCATAGGACAGTTGGGCCACAATACCACCAAACCACCTGTTATTTGAAGTAAAAACTCTCGGTAGAGGGGAAGGTGGCAATGAACCTGTACCACCCCTATCTGCTCATTGCGTGTATTTCCTACACACGCCGCTCTACTCCTTACTTGCACTGCACTCGCGTTGCCCACATCAAAAACATTAAAACATTGATGGAATAATTGCATTTCAAGCAGGGGCATAGTTTTTTCAAACTAGGTTTGGGAGAGTAGCAAACATTATGCATTGTACCCTCAAAGTATGGATGTCTTCCAGATTTGCACACATTTTCAGGGGCGGATCCAATATTTCGGCAAGGGGTCCACGAGATATTGTGGGCCCCCGACCCTCAAAAATATCTTTGCATTTCTGTCATCACATTTAACGACAAGTAGCTTGTAATGCATGCATGCATATATATATATATATATATATATATATATATATATATATATATATATATATATGTGTGTGTGTATATGCATGTATATGTTTACTTCTTTATTTATCTACTAAATACGGAAATCCGTCTTACTGCGTACAGCCCCATAAAACAGAGGCGTGCTACGCATTCATGCACATAGAGCTCACTCATTTTCTACGGAGCATTTCAAATGCTGTGGTTTT